TGGGAAATAACAGCAGCAAATGGACCAAGAATTGGTTTCCTCGTAGGCAGAGTGGCATTTCAAGAGGAACAGATGCAAAGCCAGGTGTTACTTGTAAGTAACAGAAGCAGCCAGCAATTAAAACATCGCTTTCTGAATTTACAAGATGGAAGACACACCTGCACACACAAACATTGCTCAGGAAGAATAACAATGATTTAAAAGGACAATTTGTGTATTTACTTAAGGGTCACTGATACTCAAACTGTGAACTTTCTGCCCTTACCAGGATATATAAAGGGTGGCCAGGATCACTGTATCACCTCCACTATTTACAAACATTAATTTCTGCATTTCCTTAAACAAGGAAGCAGAAGTAGTAATTTCTTTACCTGTATAATCAGCAGGAGCTCTTAAAAGAGTAAAACAAATGTAAGAAGGGAACAAGATTCCAAATTTTGAAGCTAGGCTGTCATCTGTATCAAAAACAGGACATGAAAAACCCAGAACTATTGGAATGTTTGGGTAATAACATTTATTGTTTGTCTTTAAAAGCACGCTAAACCATATGCTCAAGTATGTGACTTTTTTTTGTATCTCATTTTCACAAAATCTGAGATATTTTAAAAAATGAATTAGAATTTTTCCAAGATTTTTTATAAGTGTAATTAGGGAATAGTAGAAAACTGATCACAAAAAAATACTTGACTAATCTAAAAGTTTTAAACACAAGACAAGTTCAAAAGCATGTCATTTTCTATCTTTCCTTCTGTCAATAGTGATCATTCAAGAAAGATTCAATTAACTTTCTACTCTAATGCCATTTATTCAATCAGAGAGATAATCTTTAAGGTAATCCACATTTCATTAAAAAACTGAATAGAATGCATACTATCAGACACCACACAAATAGGGGATAAAGAATATTTTGTTTATTATGGAGCCATAATCATAAACCGATGCTCTATAACACTCTGCAAATGTGTTTCAATGAGACCAAACTGGATTTTGATCTTTAATCCCTACAACAGGATAAATATAGAAAAAAGAGAGGCAGCGCTCATTTGCAATAAAACTAACGTAATCTTCTGATATGTGGATTCACTCCAAAGACCTGTTTTTAATGGCTAGGAACACAAGTTCTTTAAGTTGTTTGTTTTTAAAATTTAGTATTTGCCCTTTTCAAAATCAAAGGATTAAAATAGGGAATCTATGTTCCCAGTATATAAAAACAATGATATCAACAAAGAACAAATATGTGTACGTGAATGCGTATATAAGTATGTATTTCGGAGTGTGCGTGTTTTAAAAAAGACTGCACCTTCAACACTGCTTGGAAACCTCTTCACCTACATATCCAAGTTCATCATTTATAAATTTTGTTTCCCACCTAACTGGAGGGCATAACTCAACTAAATTTCTGCCACAGAGCAAAAATTCCCTTTCCTCCAGTTGCTGGAAACATGTTCCCCCCTTCTTCGAGCCCTTGTTAGCAGGCGCTTTAACATTCATATTTCTGCTAACAGTCTGTTAAAGGTAAGTTATGCTTTTTGTATCATGCTCTAAGGATTCTCTGAAGCCTCTACCCACTGCCCAATTCCAAAGTCACTTTCATATTTTCAGGTATTTGTTACAGTAGGACCCAGCTTCCAGACACCAAAACTCATATTGGTTACCTTTTATGCTGTAACGAAATACCAAACATTAATGGGTTACAACCACACACATTTATTATCTGACAGTTCTAGAGGCCGGAAGTCCTAAATGAATTTATGGGACTAAAATTAAGAAGTTCACTGGTTTATGTTCCTTCTGGAGGCACAAGGGGAAAAAAAATCATTTGTCTTATCTAGTTTCCAGAAATCCCTGCATTCCTTGGCTTATGGCCCCTTTGTCTTTCTGCAGAGCACATCCATCATCACTCCAGCTCTTGCCTCTGTCTTCACATTGGTTCTCGGACTCTGAGCCTCCCACCTGCCACTTATATAAACTCTTACTGGGTCTGCCTGGATCACCCAGGATCAGTGCCCTATCCCAAGATCCTTAAAATATCTGCAAAGTATTTTGAAGATTAGAACATGGACATTTTGGTGGAGGCTGGGGGAGGGGAGCATTATTAAGGCTACCATTATCTATTTAATATAATATGATTCCCTAGAAATGTAATTAGGCTCAGTGTTGATGGACAGTTTTTAAAAAAGTGGTTTAGAAGAGAGATAACCTTATCACCAAGAGTTCAGCCATCTTTGCTCTGCAAGGTAATGTTATTTCTGACCCTTGCTCATTAGTGTCTATGAAATGTTATATGAGCAGAGGAGTAGCTTCATTCTCATTAGTCTCCTAAGGCAGTATTTCTAGAAATAAAGCAATGATTTAGACTGCTGTTGACAGTATTCGAATGAAACTCTAAATTGTAAAATTATCTCTGGTAAACAACTGGCATCCTCAGTTTGATGCTCTCAGTCTACGCTAGCTATCAAAAAATATCTCAGAATTGGTCTTTAATTACTTTAGAGAAATGAGTACTACGGTGGTTTGCTAGTAATCACAGTGCTTTGGTTGACAGGGCATCGGTGTGTGCTAATTGTTCAGATCACTGGTACTCACGAAGCGTGGTCACCACAGTGGCAGCAGCAGTAAACCTGCTAGAAATGCATATTCTTGGGCCCTTCCCTAGGCCTATTGGTTTGGAAACTGCCATTGAGGCCCAACAACCGGTTTTCACAAGGCCTCCACAGGACTCTGACTCAAGCTGAAGTCTGAAATCACTAATGAAGACCAGTCTGTTTCATCCTCAGGGTCTGAGCCCACGCTCCTTAGCAGCCAAGCACACACGCCCCTCAAGGTCTTTGCATGTGTTCCCTCTGCCTTCAACGTTTCATACATATATAACCTATTTTAATCCTCACAACAATAGTGAGGAGTGAATACACTATTATGCATCTTTCGGGAGTGAGGGGTTAAATAATTTGCAAATGTTAAAGAATAGTAAAGGGTACAGTCAGGGGAATATGAACCCCGATAGTCGAGGGCCAGGGTCCTCTACGCCTACTCATTAAACCACACTGCCAAACTGGAGATCCAGAGCACAGCAGGATAAATTATTAAACAAAGAAGAAACAACCACAAATGGACTTTTTCTTACTACCTCTGAGTTTCAGGACAATATTCTGCGCCACCTTGTACGTTTGACTTCTATAATCTTATAATTCCTGCAATTTAAATCTCATATTGTATTTTTTCATTATAATTTTATTTGTATTGAGAGCGGGACAAAATGGCAAACACTTGTATAAGTGCAAATAATTAAATAACCAAATAAGAAAAATTTTAAATCATTTATACCTATCTTTTCTCAGTTATAAAAAATATCTAAAAATCTTTTTGGAAGCTGATGCAAGACTACTTTACATTTTTGGCTTTATTTTAAGTTTGGAAAAAACATAGTTGATATATACCTAAATGCTCTCTGCCATTATCTTTAAAATTTTCAACTCTACTTCTTGATCCATGAGCTGTTTTTAAAATAAAATAAATGCTTGTACATCATGTGCATCTGTATATATATTTTTCTTTCCTTTCACTAAGGATTGCTTTTTTAAATATCATGTGGAATCGTAGTATTTGAATTAAAAAGTGCATTTATTTTCTCTTCTGTGAAGCTTTTTTTATTACTTCTCGTGAGTCAAGAAAAACGTCTCTTTTGCTTTTACAAACAAGAGTATAACACAAATGCTTAATTGAGCAGACTGATGATTAGATGAGAAAAAATGATGAAAGGAATGATGCCAGCACAAACAGAATATAGCCATTCATTTTTATCCAAATGAATCAACTACTGGTCATGAACGTGGGTCTAATACTAATTCCAGTGGCAAACAACCCAGAGCACCAACTCTCCACAGAGCTCCATGTCTGCATGCAGACAGCTTTTTTCTTGTTCCTCTTGTTAAAATACACCAACCTCTCTCTCTCCTTTGTTGGCACAATCGCATAAGTCTTAAATGAAAGATTATAATCATAGTGAATGCTGAAGATTTTCTCCCACTCTGAAATCTAAATACTCATTCGAAGATGAAAATGTTTTCTCCTAAAAAACTAGGCAACACAGCTAAACTATGAAAAGTCAGCAGAAAAAAGCAGGAATTGCCCTGGCCATTAGCCATCACAGATTTAATTTATTGGCTTTGGTTGGATTAAAAAAAAAAAAGTAAAGCATCTCCAATGAACTTGCAGTACTGATGAAGTTATAGACCAGTCTTCACACCTATACTCTTCCACATGCATGGACTAGCCTGCTCTTTTTACCTTTGATCGTCTACCAGAGAAAGTAACAATGGTTTTTAAACAAACACCTTGTGATTTTGAACTGATATTGCTGAGTTTTTCCAATACATTGGTTGATCAGCAGCACAAGACCTTTCAGACACTGAATGGCAGGAAAAAGTCCTTCTAAGGCAGCGGCTCTCAACCTGTGGGTCGCGACTCCTTTGGGGGTCGAACAACCCTTTCACAGGCCTAAGACCATCGGAAAACACATATATAATTACATATTGTTTTGTGATTAATCACTATGCTTTAATTATGTTCAATTTGTAGCAATGAAAATACATCCTGCATATCAGATATTTACATGACGATTCATAACAGTAGCAAAATTACAGTTATGAAGTAGCAACGAAAATAATTTTCTGGTTGGGGGTCACCACAAACATGAGGAACTGTATTAAAGGGTCGCGGCATTAGAAAGGTTGAGAACCACTGTTAAGGGTTTCTAAATCCCTCCTATTCTCATAACAAGATTCCTCCAGTCAATTCCTAGAGGATGAAAAGTAGCACCCATTACATGTTAAAGACACCCAAGTGAGTCCCAGGACTTGGCTGGCAGTTTAACTGGGTCCTACTACAAAACTGTAGTAGAAGTGCTACATGTAATTAGCCCTGAAGGAGGGAATAAAGCTCTTTCATTTTAGAAAGCTGGATAATGGAATTCGAAAAAGAAAAAAAAGCAAACCTCTTACCTTTTGTAGCAATTCGTACACACTGGGTTTTAGTTTCCTGATGGAGTGAAAATGAAAGAAAATAGTCAGTGTCTACATAGGCTTCCTGTTTCATAAACTATAACTATTATGAAGATCAATCTGGAGCTATAAAATAGGTTTATAAAGAATACAATTGCAGTGCTACAGAAACATGTTTTTATATGTATTCTTAGATAATTTTTAAAATCTAAAATAAAGACTTAAGCCCTGAGCAGTGTGTTCAGTGGTTAGAGGGTTGGCCAGTGCACAGAAGGGTCACAATTTCAATTCCCAGTCAAGGGCACATGCCTCTGTTGCTGATTTGATCCTGGCCCCAGTTAGAGTGTGTGTCTGAGGCAACCAACCAATGTCTCTCGCACATCAATGTTTCTCTTTATCTCCCGCCCGCCCCCAAACTCCATCCCTCCCACTCTCTCTTAAAAGCAATGGAAAAGTGTATCCTCCAGGGAGGATTAACAGCAACAACAACAACAAATAAAAACTTAAATTTTTTTCAATATTTTTCTAAAGATTTAGGTGTCTGTTTTTACCTTGTAATGAAACAGGATGTCTTATCTGGGACAAGTATAATGGCAACAATTTGCATTTTGCACTTTCTGAACAATCAGAAAGAAAACATATTTGCAAAGCTAATACAAATCAGATCCAAATATAAACTTCATTTTCACCTCATAGCTGCACACTCAGACCAAAGCTGGGCATCACATACTGTCACTTGGAGCCTTCCATGACTAAAGAGCTGAATAATAGTTAGAAAATCATAAAAAAATACTTCATACCCTGGCAGGGTGACTCAGGTGGTTGGAGCATCATCCCATACACCAAAAGGTTGTGGGTTTAATATCCAATCAGGGCACATATTTAGTTATAGGTTCAATACTGGTTAGGGTGAGTATGGGAGGCAACTAATCTCTCTCTCTCTCTCCTCTTTTCTCCCTGTCTAAAAATCAATTAGAAAAACACACACACACATATCCTTGTGTGAGGAGTAAAAAAAATTACGTCAGAGTTGGAACATAATTTATCTGTTCTTTTTTCTTTTTAATTTAGTTGTTAGGGAATAAATCTTCCTTGGTAGTGATTATTTTCCTCCTCTTGCTAGACAGATAGGGTTGAGGAAATAGGAGACATAGGAAAGAACACAAATTATCTTTTCTTTTCCTTTTTTTTTTTTAATGCTGTGGGGTGGCACTGGGAGTTGGTATGTACTTTAGGCCTACAATTCCCAGACTTAGTTTATTCAGCTCACATCTTTGAATGTACAAGAGTCTGGAAAAGATGTTAAAGCCAGTAAACAAGACAGAGGCTATTTGTTTTTAGATGCAGTTATAACTGCATCTTGAGTAGTTCTATATCTTGATAAACCAAAAGCTTATAACTCTCTCTTAAGCATTATTATTTTTAAATTAAGTAAAATAAAGTACTGAAGGGGAATCAGTAATTAAAAATGAAAGTATGCACTTCTATTCCTTGACTGTGACCTAAGGCCTTCACAGTGAATGGCAAGAGATTAGTTCACTTTCCTGTAGAGGCCAGATGGAATTTTGATCTCCTAAAAGCAATTGTTAACTCTATCAGGATTACCAACGATCGCTGGTCGGAGCCATGTCACTTTAAAAACTCTTTGCCAGGGGAACTGAAATATACTGTTGTCACTCTGTACTTTAACACATGCAGGTAAAGTAACATTTAGAAGAGACTGTTCATAAGAAAGCTTGCTTTTATTTATTTATTCATTAAAATATTTTTATTGATTTCAGCGAGGGAGAGGGAAAGACATATGGAATTATCAATGATGAGAGAAAATCACTGATTGGCTGCCTCATGCCAATCCCCTACTAGGGATTGAGCCCGCAAGCTGGGCATGTGTCCTTGACTGGAATCGAACCTGAGATCTTTCAGTCTGCAGGCTGATGCTCTATCCACTGAGTCACACCAGCTAGGGCAAGAAAGCTTTTAAAGAGTGCCATATAAAATCCTTTATAAATAACATGCATTCATTAATACGCCTCTCACACCACACACCAGATAACGAAAGTCGACTTGTACTCTATCAACTCTCTAAAGATGAATACCCAAACACAGAAGTATGCTTTCTACCCCTATGTTTCTCTACATCCAGAATGGAATATTAACTTTTATAGTCACCTGTCTTTTGAACAGCCCATTGTTACCAATGGGAGGGAATGAGGTGTAGGAGGGGAGCGGGCAGCTGACTTGCCTGGAACGATTCCCTCTCATGAAGAAATACACTAGAAGACGAGAAGAGCATTGTCACCCAGGAGCAGCCCCTGGCTTTGGGGTGCATTTTAGAAAATGCTGTGGGGCATTTTTCTCTGCCATATTCTGCAAACCAGCCACATACGGTGAGCAGAACGATAAAGTTTTCATTCAAAAGCAACCAGCCAATACCCTAAGTTCTCACGGTCCCTGCAGAAATATAAATGGATTGCTACGTCTTCCAGTTAAACTATTCCAAAATAGAACTGCTGCAACTAGATAGCACATATTTCACAGCACCTCTCACGTACCCACCTCGGGGACTCAATTACCCAAACCCAGCCATTTCCTATAAAGCTACAAGTCAACAAAAATGTCATTGTGCTAGTGGATTCCAAATTGTGGGCATTTTCTATTCTTAATGTATTTTTTCTATCTCCCTCTGGAAAGAAATAAATTAAATAAGTTTTAGGAAAGAAAATCTTTCACAGAGACCAGCATGAGGCAGGTTATTTCCCCACGTATGGAGCCACTGGTAGTTTCTCACTTCCTGTTGTGTTTTCCTTTTCAATATTCATTTGGGATCAGCGGCAGTGCTCAAAAACAACTGTGTCCAAAATGGGAAAAGGAGGGGCAACCAGGGAGATGGAAAACAAGACTCCTCCACCGGCCCAGCATCCAGCCCTCTCTGGGCAGCCTTCTGTTTAGGTTCTGTCAGACGGACCGCAGGCGTCCTATTTGTAATCGGAGGATTGTTACTTGTTATTTACAACTCGGCTTGTACCCCCTGAAAAGTTTATAAGGGTTTATTAGCCTGCTGTGGAACACGCATTCTGTTGATCCTGCAGTCGATTTCATCTTCTGAAGTGCAGCCACTCCTGAGCAAAGAGGACAGAACAATGGCTGATATTCACCAGGGCTCCAGCCCCAGCAGCAAGGCACACACACCTTTCCAAAGTGTTTTGCTCACAATTGCTCTTGTGGGCTTGCCTGAAGTGGGTTCGTAGAAGCTGTTACTAGGAAACAGGAATTCTGAGCAAGGTAACACGTGGGGCCCCCAGCTCAAAACCGTGCACACAGTTGGGAATAGAAGCAGCAGCCCCCTGCCCATCAATTATCTCCCCCACCGCC